ATCTGTTTGTCCGCAGATTTTTTTGGCCTGGACATTATCACCAGATCTGTTCAATATACCCCCTCCCCTAAATTTTGTAGAAATAAATTGTACCAATTATATAAACTTTTTGCAATGGCTGTGACTTTAAAGTTGAGTAACCATGATTTGAAGAAACTTAAATCTACACTTCAGAGAGAAGCCTTCATGAAGTTGTTTTTCTGACCCATTGGTTGATTTTTAAATAACCCCACCCTCTTTTCCATATTTCTTAATTATATCGCCTTGAAATAGGGCTTCACTCAAGATTGCTTTTGTGGCAAGTTTGGTTAAAATTAGCCCAGTGGTTCTGAGGAATACGAAAATCTTAAAAGTTTACATAGATATCCAGAGTACATTCATACATGCATACAAACACATGCAAGACACTTGTTGACCATAAGCTCACTCTAGTCTTGGGCCTGAACCCTTAACCCACAGAATATTTTTAGAGGGGTACACTGCTTATATTGGTAGAACATTATCATCATGCACACAATCTGCCACCTTTAAGTCAAGGAGTAGAGCATGCGTAAAATTTGGAGGAGATATAGACCATCTCCTTTGGATTGTGAAGTGGGGACCATGAACCTCACAATTTTCCCTCTCTTCTGCTCACTCATATAAAATGTTGCCTTGAGTTAACTTTTATGATTTTACGAAAGCTATGTATCTAATAAGTAAAATACAAATAGTTATATAAAGGCTTGTGGGGCAAAATTAAACAAAAAATACATATCAACTTGACAAATCTATAAACGAATAATAGATATTTAAGTAAATAAGAGTTATCTCTCTTATCAGAGTATCAATGAACCTTAAGAAGATTACTCCAAAATCTCCTGATACATTGATACTGGTATAAAGGAATTTGAAAAGGATAGCAAAAGGTAAAATGTCACCTGAATGAACCAGATGATCAAAAAGTAAAACAAAAAATTCAGATTCAAATATGTGTATTTTAGTATGAAAACAAATGCAGCATACAGAAATGAATGACACTATATGTGAACATATAATTGCGAGAGGATTCCTAAAAAATATGCAAAGTTTTAGCACTGCATATTATAACTATTCAAAGCACTTATTACAGATGTTGTCTAGAAAAAATACTGTTATTTTTCTTAATTATATTAATTTCCCAATAACCAGATAACAAAATTTTATCCTGAAAAATTTCCATCAACTTTTATTTTTTTTTAAACTGAGATTTAAAGAACATTAAAATTATTTTTCTTATCATAGAACATTTTGAAAATCTAAAAATTCTTCAAAAAAAAATCATAAAATTCTCACAGAATTTTCTGTGCCTAAATCCAAATTGTACTTTGTCCAACAATTGAGAAACATATCAAGAAATGTAATGAAGTCCGAGCAAGTAAACATTGATTTTGCTCATTATCCAATCACTCTCTGGATAATAAGATTTGGGAATCACAGGAATCTTGTTTTCTAGTTAGATTTTATCACCAAAAGAATGGCACTTTATTTGTATGATCAAGTTTAACGTGAATAACATAGTCAACAAAACAAGGGAGGGAATATAAAAAAAATTCCAATTCACAGTTAACAAAGAATGGGTAAAGTGCAACATGACTAGAAAAGAAAAACAAGGGATTCATAGGCAACAGTTCTCACCTTAGTCACCTTGCCCTTCTGTTTTTCATCTCAACATTTAATAAAACAAAATCCATCTTTAAACACAATGAAAACTAGATGCTGTCATAAGACAGTAATACTTGTACGTAGGTGTTTGCCTCTCAATGTATGTATTGGGTAACAAGGAAAGAAGCCACAATAATATTACATAAAAGTCCCTTTTTGACCCCCAATCACCCCCAGTGTGAAAATAAAAATTCTGAAACCTAAATGCACATATTGAGGACACTCCCTGACTTATTCCAAAATATAACTGGACTGCTGTGAAAAATATAAGAGATCATGAAGTCAGGTTGTTGTTGTTTAAAAAAAAAAAATTAGCCCCCATTTGGCCCCCACAGTGAAAATCAAAATTCTGAAAAGACACCCATGATCATATTTCAAAAGATGATTTGGCTACTGCAAAGAATGCAATGGGAGTTCAGTGAACCAGGTTTTTGTAGAAAAAAATGTCTTGTCAAACCAGTAGAGATAAAAAAAAACATGTGATGAACCTTTTTTTCCCTTTGAATTCAGAGGGCAGATCTTTAATAAAAATGCATATATCTTATTTGAGCATCATCTACTACCTAATGCAATGACATGTCCAAACACTGCATGAGTATGTTCCAAAGCAACAGCTCGAGTTGCTATTGTAGACTCTATTATCTCTCTGTTAATTGACTCTCATTTGACTTTCATTTTCTTGGCTGGAGGCTCATCTGGGGCTCCAATCACTTTATCCATTGAAAACCCTGTAAATTATATGCATGAGACTTGTTGATTCAAAGTATAACAAAATTTCCATATTCAGGGTCAGCTTTTTCAACATATTTTCAATGTTAGATTTTAAACAAGGAGCTCATGGGCTATAATGCTCACCTGAGTAACTTTGGCCCTTCTGTTCTTCATCATCAGATCATTTTCCTTACATATTTTTGTAAAATTTAGATTACATATTGTGGCCCAACCCTACCCGAGGGTCATAATTTGAACAAACATGAATCTACTCTACCCAAGGATGTCTCCGTATCAGTATAACTAATCATGCTTTTGCTGTTCTTGAGAAGATTTTGAAAGGGTTTTTTTTCTATATTCCTATTCAGCTTTCAAATAAGTTTCAACTCTTCTGACCCAATGGTTCTTGAGAAGATTTTTGAAAGATTTTTTTAAAAAAATATATTTCTATGTAAAACTTTGATCACTTATTGTGGCCCCACCCTACCCCAGGGGCCATGATTAGAACAAACTAGAATCTAAATTACAAAATGAAGCTTTCATTGAAGTTTCAATTTTTTTGAATTAAGTCTTTTTTTCAGTTCATGGTCTCATAAACTGTTTCTTGAGATTTTTAAAGGATCACACTAAATTTACACTATTTCTGCATTATCCCCCCTTGAAAGAGGGTTAATTGAACTTGGCCCTTGTTGTTCTGGAGAATTTAAATAACTAAAAAGTTTACACACAACATATGAAAGACAGATGCCAGACACTCATTGATAAAAAAGGTGTACTAGAGTCTTTGGGTCAGGTTTGCTATATAACTAGTCCCATTGTCTTTGTTGTTGGAATATCTCACCTTTTTCCATCCTGAGCACTTCACACTCCTTCCTGATCTCAGCAATAGCTCTTTCATCATCCTCCTGTTCAAATCCAACAAATATATACACATCAAATCAAGCCCATTTCACACAATGTTAAAAATCGTGACATGCTCTGTAGCATTCTGTTCACAGAAGCTAAAAGATTTTTCCAAGTCTTATATTTCTTACCATGCAAGTTATTTTTTTATAGCAAGAATAGTCAATTTGTCACAAATGGCCAAATATTGACAATAGGATAGGAATATCTTTCCCCAGAATGAGCATGGTGAAGATCACAACCCGACTCCTTTGCCTTAGATGAGTCATTTATCCAGTGTGGATAAGTATGGGCGCATTCTTTTTAACATATCTCAAGAATCTGATATGTTTGAGTCTTAAACCCCCCCCCCCCCCCAATATTTTATGGATTTAATAATTATATTATTGTTAAGATATTCAACTATTTTTCTTACTGTAACTTAGCAATCTTCCAATTCATAACAGTCTTTTGTCTTCATAAACCTTGTACAAATTACATGTATTATATGCTACTGCAAAGGAATTTCCAAGATATACGTTAAACTTTAAAGCAGTTTGTTGCTTGAGTATGACCGAGTCAACCATTTTTGTCACAAGTCATCTACATATTGATGTCATTTTTGCATTATGACGTCACAAACATGGAACAAACATGTAACATCTGCTATTTATAGAACATGTTGTGCCAAATTTCATTTTGATCTGAATTGTGGTTTTGTAAATATAGCAACAGTTCGCGAACTTTTTGATCACCCCTCATAGTAATATTTTCTACACAGATTATCTTTTGTCATTTCTATATGTTTAACTATTAATTTTTAGGAAAACTTGATTTTTTTAACATGACATTTTTGCACCCTGTACATTTTACCACTTTTTTTCACATCAATCTACCTTAGTCATATAATTCAATTTTTTGGTGGCTGATTATATTATTACCTAGTCAGGGTCATGTGACTTTTGCTGTCATTAAATGATTGTCATGTGACTTACCTCTGCTTTACTCCACAGGAAACAATCATTACACTTGTCACATGGTTTCTTTGGTTCTCTCAAATGTTGACAGAAATGTTTGTAGCTTATCTGATCAAAAAAATTTGAACTAAAAAAACAAATGACACTCCAACCGTGTAAAACGTACACCCACATACAGTCACAAAAATATATAACATAAAGATACTCAGATAGAACTGGCCTAAATACATTCTATTCCAGCAATCATTTCATTTAATGAATGACAAAGTATGATGTGGCCTCTTAGAATAAAACTAATGTTTTAAGATTTTGTAATAATGAGCCTCAAATTATGTCTTATCAGTGTAGCATATGATTGGCTTCACAGACAAAAGCTACAGAAATTGTGGTGAAATATTTAAATTACTTATCATAAAAAAAAAAAAAAAATTCCTAATTGCTAATGTATTTCATCAAATTTTAGATATATCTTAAAAATGCTAATCTTTTCTATAATCATGATAATACATAACATTGAATTATTTCATTAATATGCCCTAGTTGTTACATGAATGATATCAAATTATTGTATTTTCATGTAAATTTGTATTTATCATTTACTACACTTTTACAATGTCATTCCGAATTTCCTCTTTGAAATCCATTCACAATCATCCATATGATAAATGGATATAAATAGGCAAAAAATGTCAATTTTCGTAGCTAGTTCAATGAGTTTCTTGTCAATTTTAAGTTAAAATACAAGATCTAAGAAAGACAACACTGCCTTAATTTTTATCTTTCAAGACTTGTAAAGCAAGTAAATGACAACTAAATGATAGAACTATAACTTTTGATCCATACAAATGTCAGATTTGCAGTTAAATTGCATAATAAATATACTCTTTTTTGTGCACTGAATGAATCTTTTTTTTTTTGTTTATTCTTTGTTTTTCATGCACTGTAGAATTATTCTCTGAATAAAAGCTAGATTGCATCCTCAGAGGCATCTGGCAGATGGTATTTTTTCAGAATTTTAGCACTGTTTTATTGTACATTGTTCATGAATTTTTTTACTTATAGAAGTGTATCCTGCTAAAGATAAAGTACCATGAATTTTTACCTTTGCATAGTTACATGTAACAGCCACAGGTTCTTTATCATACCAATGCATAATGTGACAAAGTACCTCAGACAGTATGTATCAATGTTACAGCCATTACCTATGTTGAACTTTTCAACCAGGAACAAGAATCAAACCTTGACCTTGCAATCACAAAGAGCATGCCCAACTTCTAGGCTACCATAACACTGATTTAGACACATCAAAATAACGAACACTATTCTGCACTCAAAGGAAGGCCAGATATTGCAATATACATTGAACAACATCATCTACAGGTAAACTTCAGTATCTCGACAATGGATATGTCGACAACCTGGGATATGTCGACGTCCTTCCGCGGTCCCGGCAGTATTTACTATATAAATGATTTGCAAAAACTCTGATATGTCGACATCGGTTATGTCGACAACCCTGGTTATCTCGACATATATATCCACAGTCCCAAGAGCAAAATTTACCTGGTATATGTTGACATCGGCAATTTTCTGCTCTACTGAACCTAATTGTTTGTCAGATAGGGTCGCTCATCATGCACAGACAACTCCGGGTATCTCGACATCGTCAAAATTTCACACCTTTCACACCTAAGTTTTGACTGCACGCTGCTTAATTAATTCTATAGACTGTGTTTGTAGGTGAATCCTAAGCCCCCTTGGCTTGTTTGAGAAGTTAATTGCTTAATGTTCAGCTTGGGTAATTTCACTGCTCAATTTACACGATTCTTCATAAATGTACAGACGGTTATTTATATTGAAACCTAACATAACTTTTAAATTTGAAAAAGGTAACTAAATTACAATGAATAGAAAACACACTGAATAATTCAAACTAAGGAATTAAAAGATGTTTTAATGATATTTTGTAGTTAAAATGTATTCAACAGGAAACAATCCAATTAACGACACGATTGACCAAATAAGCCGTAATTCATGCATCTGTAACATCATTACGTTAGTTTAGATACACAAATCTCTTTTAAAAAATGAATTTTATTGTACATTTTAATGTACATTATTCCTCAATGAAATAAGAAAAAAATAATCCTCATTTAATTTTTTTTTCCGTATATCGGATGTCAACTTTATACTATTTGAAGTTTATAGAGCGCATTTCTTATCCTGTTTTGAAAAAAAGGCAAGTTACACGTATGCGAATGCTGTAACTTTGTGAATTTAGAAAGATTTCAATAAAGAACACGTTTTATATTAACTTCTTACATTTTTAATAAAAATAGAGGGAATTCTGAAATATGTTGAGCTGCAGTCTATATTGAAGTCATGTACATATAATAAGCTTGTCTGTTTTGCTATGCAGTGAAATCTTGGATGTCAGTTCTCAATTCTGATATCTCGACACCTCGGATATCTCGACATTTTCCGATGGTCCCGTCGATGTCGAGATAACGAAGTTTACCTATATTTGATATTAAGATAAACATAATTTTTTTTTGTGGGAGTATTATCTACTTAATTTGCAGATTTATGCAGGTGTTGTAGCATAGATCCTCCTCCACACAGTTTTCTCCCTTGGAAAAATTTTCCACCTATGGGAGGCAAAATCACCCCTGCATATATTATCCCCCTCCATGCACAAAGTCAGTATTGAGTTTCCAATGAGCAGAATGCCAAAATACCCAATGCCCTGGAATAGAATTTCACTCCCCCCTCCCACATCCTCTTCCCATTCCCAGGTTCCATATCTTTAATAAAACTGTCTGTTTTTTCTTCAATTATCTTAAATAATACAGTTTAACTTTGCTAACATTAAATAATAATTATATACTAATGTTCAAAAATTTTTAGAGGATTGGTTGATGCAGTAAATACGGCATAAGACTTGTTTAGCCAAAAATTTAATATAACACTTAGGGCTACTTAGAAAATAGGGCTAAGCAACTCTGATGTTTATCATTGATTCCTTGTAAGTTATACAAAGTTTTTTTATTTCATAAAAAAATTAAATTTAACCACACAAGTCTGATGGTATTTTTCACTCTGCTCCACAAACTCACTTAGTTTAAACCAGAACACCCCCCCCCCCCCCACACACACACTCACAAAGGTGAATTAAAAGAAAATGAAAGACTTACATTTGGTTTACGACAGACATAACACATTGAAGCACCACATTTACAGGTCATTTTGTTACATCCCTCTTCCTTCATAAATTTTGCTTTGCACCGGTGACAGGTTCGAATTTTAGCCATGGCCATCTTCTCCTCACTGTAAAAATGGTTATTTAGGATATAATTGAAAATTGACAGAATCAAAATAATGGTTTATAATTAGGATTTGCACTGAGTTTCATGTATCAGATCTTCACATCCAACACATTAACATACAAGAGGCCCAAGAGCCACAACACTCACCTGAGTCATTTTCACCTTGCTGTTCTTCAGATTTTCTAAAGATTTTCCCCTATATATTCCCGCGAAAAATGTTGCCCAAATGCATCAAGACTTGATCAAAATTAAATTCAAATTGTTCAAGAGATTTTTTTTCCTATTTATTCTACATAAAACATTGATGCTCTATTGTAGCTGGGAATATGATTTGAAAAAAAAACAAAAAACAAGAGGCCCCTGCTGTTTTCCTTTAGATTTTTTAAGATTTTTATATTTCAATGAAAAATTATGACCTCATTTATGGTCCCAACCTAACTAATCCATACAATGTGGGGATGCCTCAATATCAATGTGATATTCCCACGAAAAATGAATTATACATTATATGAGGAAATTTTCACACATCTTTCAACTTTGCAGGTCTAGTGATTCTTGAGAAGATTTCTTCAAAATTTTCCTGTTTACTTTGATCCCCGATTGTGGCCCCATCCTATCCCTGGGGGTCATGATTTGAACTATTAAGAATCTACACTACCAGAACCTTTCACCTGAGTTTCATCTTTTCAGCTCCAGTGGTTCTTCAGAAGTTTTTTAAAGACTTTTTCCTACATAATTCAATGTTACATGTAAATTTTTATTCCCCATTATGGCTCCACCCTGCTCCTTAGGACAATGATTTGAACAATTCAAAATCTACATTGTCTAGAAGCTTCCATCTTTTCTGCTCCAATGTGGTTCTTGAGAAGAAGATTTTTAAAGATTTTTATGCCCCCGGATCGAAAGATCCCGGGGGTATATTGTTTTTGTCCTGTCTGTCTGTTTGTCCTGTTTGTCTGTCTGTCTGTTGTCAACTTTAACCTTGCCCATAATTTTTGATTGGTTGGACCTATGACTTTCATATTTCACATGTGTATTCCTTGTGACAAGACCTTTCTTTGGGTACCATCATATTTGACCTTTTGACCTTGGAGTTTGACCCACTTTTGCAAAATTTTATGAGACTTTAACCTTGGCCATAACTTCTGAACAGTTGGTGCTTGAGGTTTCAAACTTCACATGTGTATTCTTTGTGACAAGGCTTTCCTTTGGATACCAACAACTTTGACCTTTTGACCTTGACATTGGAGTTTGACCTACTTTTGAAAATCTTTAACCTTGGCCATAACTTTTGAACAGTTGGTGCTTGGGGTTTCAAACTTCGCATGTGTATTTCCTTGTGACAAAACCTTTCTCTGGATATCAACCTTGGCCATAACTTTTGAACGGTTGGAGCTTGGGCTTTCATACTTCACATATGTTATCCTTGTGACAAGACCTTCCTTTGGATACCAGCCACTTTGACCTTTTGACTTTGACCTAGCAGTTTGACCTACTTTTGAAAAACTTTAACCTTGGCCATAACTTTTGAATGGTTAATGCTAGGGCTTTCATACTTCACATATGTAATCCTTGTGATATCACCTTCCTTTGGATACCAACCACTTTGACCCTTTGACCTTGACATAGGAGTTTGACCTACTTTTGAAAAACTTTAAAGTGACACTGTGATGGAAAAAGGGGAAAACTGACAAAAGTAGAATTCTTGGATTGGATGACACAAGCAAATTTTATTCAATTCTTGAAGATATTAGGTTTCAGAAAATTACAGGTTTCAGAACCTAAAAACTCTACTTTTTTGGAGAAAAATAAAAGTAAAAATAATTTTTGTTTGTCCCAACACAAAAATATTGCTTCACTTCTTCCTCCTTATTGTATGCATGTGCAGAAAAGTTGAAGAATTTACCATGGTGTCAATTCCATAGATGTAAATGTTGGATGACTGAGGATTTTGATACAATCTTCAATAAAGATGGTCAGAACTTATTTCTCACTTCTGTTTGCTCCAATTCAATGTTGTTTACAAGTTTCAAGCTAAAAATAAAAGTCGTTCGACCTTGACATTGTTGACATTGATGATAACAACAAAGCGGTAGATACAACCTTTGTTTTTCCGGCACTTATAATTTACAGTTCTTTTCTTGCTTTACAGTGCAGTTGAGTTGTCAGAACTTCGCTTTAGTCATATTTCACATAAATCTTCTGTTTTATGATACAATTATCTTAAAGGAAACACATGATTTTGACTCATTATGTAACTTTAACCTTGGCCATAACTTTTGAATGGTTAATGCTAGGGCTTTCATACTTCACATATGTAATCCTTGTGACATCACCTTCCTTTGGATACCAACAACTTTGACCTTTTGACCTTGACCTTGGAGATTAACCTACTTTTGAAAAACTTTAACCTTGGCCATAACTTTTGAATGGTTGGTGCTAGGGCTTTCATACTTCACATATGTAATCCTTGTGACAAGACCTTCCTTTGGATACCAACCACTTTAACCCTTTGACCTTGACATAGGAGTTGGACCTACTTTTGAAAAACTTTAACCTTGGCCATAACTTTTAAATGGTTGATGCTAGGGCTTTCATACTTCACATATGTAATCCTTGTGACATCACCTTCCTTTGGATACCAACCACTTTGACCTTGCCCTTGACGTTTTACTTACTTTTAAACTTAAACCTTCGCCATAAATTTTGAACAGTTGCAGCAAAGGCTTTCAAATTTCACAGGTATATTCCTTGAGACATGACCTTTCTTTGGGTACCAACATTTTTTATCTTTTGGCCTGGATTTTGACTTGCAATTGAGAAACTTTAAGCTTCACCATAAGCTGCCATACGGGGGCATCAGTGTTTCACAAACACATCTTGTTCCTAAATATTTCAATGTAAAAATTTGATCCCTTAGTGTGGCCCCACCCTTCCCCTGGAGGCCATGATTTGAAAAATTTAGAATCTACACTACCTAAAAGCTTTCACTAAAGTTTTAAAACTTTTTTTCCTGGTATATTCCAATAAATACGTTTGATCCATTACTGTGACCCCATCCTATCCACTGGGGTTATGATTTGAAGAATTTAGAATCAGCACCACTTCAGGAAGCTTTGACAGAAGTTTTATTTCTTCTGCTCCAGTGTTCTTCTTCAGGAGATTTTAAAATATTATTATTATATATTTCAATGTAAAACTGCTACCTTGGGGAGGGGGGGGGGGTTATATGTGCAATGATCAATCAAAAGTTTTGACCCCAATGACCTCTCATCATTACCGTAATTGACTTTGAAACCTGCATATGTTTTCCTCCTTTTATTTCCCACCTCTGCAGAAAATTTGGTGTCTATTGGATGAAATATATCTGTTTATGTAGCCTAAAAATCAACTGAGTTTCATTCAAGTTTGTAGTGGCTAAATAGTGCTACAAAGCTGAACAAAGAACTAAGCTAGCCCAAGATACATGTAGGGATGACAAGCATACAGTGAGTTCAACAAACTTAGATATCTTGACTAGAGGTTAAACTAGCTGCTATGATCTTGAAGACAGCTCTGACTCTTACCATTTTCAATGTGAGTACTATAAGAAGTCATTAGCCTTAAAAATAGTTATCTCACAGAAGAGTGCTTAGAGTATTATCTCACAGAAGAGTGCTTAGAGTAAACTAAACAGACATAGTGATTTTTATAGAACACCTCCATTTTTGAGAGGGCCCCACCTACTACTTACAATTTAATTCGTAGACTAACTTCATCCTTCTTTTCAATCTCCTCACATCTCTTCCCAAAATGTTCCTTCCAGTCTTCTTTACAGTATCTACAAGTCTCCTGAAAAAACAAGTGTTCTACATGATAGAGGATTGGATACTTGCATCAAATACAATTCTAAAATACTGAAATCTTACCATTTTGATTGATGCAGTAAGACATGCTTATAACATAGTCCTATGGTCGCCGAAGTATCATATGCTTATCAACATATAAGCTTCGTCATGCATTTGCACTGTTGAATTGTGTGTTAATTTTTACTACTTTGGTGCATGACACTATCTTTTTTTATAATAATGCATATTAACATGTCTGCTAGATGCTTTGAGCTTCTAGAAGAAAATATTTTGAGAATATTGCAAATTCTTAATACTTGATCACCTTAAGTTCTGTGGGGTCTAATCTCTGGACCCAGCAGACATGAATTTCACAAATTTGGTATGAGACTTATCACCCCTATGTAAACAATAAGCATGGTAAAAGTCCAAGAGTAAAGGAGATTTTCAAAGGTGTAACAACCTTCCATATATGACCAACTTATACCCACCCTAGGGCCTAAATCCTTGACCCAGAGGTCATAAAATTTCAAAAGGTCCGCCGAAAGAAAGCTGATCATCATAATCAGGCAAAAAGTTTGCCTGACTGTTTTATAAAAGAGATTTTTAAAGATATCATGAATTTTCAATAAACGACTCAGCCCAAAACACCCGAACATGTGCCCTGGACATAAGAGACATGATGCAATTCAGTTTTTGGTTGAGGATTAATTGCCCAATGTAATATTACAACTTGTCTGCTGTATGTCCAGACTTCAATAGTGGAAAATACAGTTGAACTTTGTTATCTCAAACACTGTTATCTTGAATACAAGGGAGTAGGGATATGTATTGAAGTGAGTTGTCAGTCCCAAATTACTTTTTCTTTATGTTTTTTTACTCTGTTTATCTTGAATCCTCAGATATCTCATATTTCAAAGTTTTATCTTGGTCCCGTCGACTTGAACATAATGGGGTTTGACTGTACATGTGGCATTAAGAACTTACCCATTTTCTAGGTCAACTACTAGGATATTTTATTTCATTGGTTAAGATACATTATTGTTTTGTTAATGCAACCATTTCAATTCTACACCACTGATCAATCAGCACATTCAAAGAAATGTTTTATTCGATAGATTGTTTTAAAAGCACCCCTAAATGAGATATATACCCACTATACAATAAGCACTGCTCTGTTTTTATCCTTTTACTGTCTTCCAGATTTATATACAAACATATTTCTTTAAAAAACTTTGTAGAGGTAAAATCTTTTTGCCCAAGATTTCAATTTTGCACCATTCAGCAATGTGATTTTCTGTTTTTGGTTCTATAAACTGATTCCAATTTCAAAGACAAATATTTGTCAAGTTATAATCTAACAAAATTAGTTCTTTACTTTGATACCAATTTTAGAACACAGAATTATCTATAACAAACATAAGCTCTGATGTAGGCTTGGTACATGCAGGGTTCTCACTACGATTTTGCTAACTTGAGTCCCAGGACTCAAGATTTCTGAGAAGGTTGCGTATCAGCTAAATTTGATGCATCCCCCCCCCCCCCCAAAAAAATATGTTGAGTCCCAACTGAATTATTGCAGTATCCTTCCATCCAAACATCAAAATAAAATCTTTACTATTTTAACAGTTCGTTTACGCAATATTACACGTTCAAATATGTAAACTGGTAATACATCCAAGCCATATTTTAAAATACACGCGTAATCAACTGCCATAAAAATAAACTGGGTGTTTATAAAGCTAAAATTAACTGTTGCATAATCAATTAGTACCCTATGGTTGACTGTATACAGTCTGGTCGAACCCCCAAACGGGGGTAACCGGAAATAGGAAAACCATACCCCCAAACGGGGGTACGAGCATGCGCAGATGCTTAAAAATATACGTATTTCAGGCAAAAAGTATGGGTTTACAAAAAACGCCGGTGCAAAGTAACGGATCATTGTGCAAATGTGAAACCACTCGGAAATGATAGATTAAAGGTGTTTTAAGAGTTTGTATTTTACAAAAATACAACTTTATTGTACAAATCGGGATTTATTCACTGGCAAAGTTGGCGATCTTTTGCTCCGTGACATCCAGGTAATTAAGGTAAAATATTTGATAAACAGACATAAGCAACTAATATTAAATTGAAATTATAAAAGAATTTTATAATTTTACCTTATATCTTTTATTTTTGTAATAAAATGCAAGAAAATGTGGTGTTAATATTGATTTATTTATGACCGTGAGTTTCAGTCCGCGTTTCCTCTGACTAGCAATCGAGGGTCTTTACTATCGATAATTATGCCCAGGAAGTGTAACAAAAATACATATAAAAAATATAATTTAAGTGCAGTTTATCGTATTTATTGTCTTTTATATCTTATAAGAATTTAATAAAATGTTATTTTAAGTAACAACGATTGTTTGGGGGAAAACACGATTATATGTTATTTTTTTTTAAATCTAGATTCTAAATTCATATTTTTCTCATCATTAGAATATTTTTCTTTGTGTTTTAAATTCCATGGTTTAAAAAAATCGTTATTGAGACGTCACACAAAATATTAAAATATTTCATGAAATGACGGAAAATTTTCGTTCTTTCCTACAGTATAAATTCAAAATATGGAAAAATTAACCTGTTGATTTTTTTCTGTTGACATTTTACCAAGTTCATAGCAGAAATAACAATATTATCGATCTTTTTTCCTTAGATAGAAGATTAAGGCAAGTTTGTTTATATTGGATACGGCAAGAGTTACCGTTCTTGTGCATTGCATGACGGGACAGAAAACCCTCGTTTGAGGGTATACCCCCGTTTAAGGGTTCGACCAGACTGGTATAGAATCACAGGTTTCATGTGCAATGAGGCGTCCTGTCGGTCCTCTGCACTGGGTGAAATTCACGAGATAATCAAGCCGCATTGTGTATACAAGCGGTAATTATGGATTCTAGATAAAGCTCAAGATTCAAAAGTGTTTTTAAAAATAAGCTGCAGTGTGTAACTTACAGGTATCGGAGTCTGGCATGCGACACTATTATGAATAAACATGAAATATCTTATAATCAATCCCTGTTTTTAAAAAAATAGAAATAGGTACAAGAAAAGTTGTTTCTTGGATAAACTTTATGATTGCTACAGGAAGGTTTCAAATAAATATTTCATTGACAAATCCTAACATCTAAAATCTCCGGTTTTCAAAAGCACCCGAATTTTCTCGCTGACGAGGATGCGTCCACTCGTGAGTCCGCGGATGCATCGTTTTTAAGAACCTGCGTCCCAAATAATTTTGCTGCATCTAGGACGCATTCTTGCGTTAATGAGAACCCTGTACTTGAACTTGTTGGGCTAATTTACCAGTGGATTGCTGAATTTGTGAAAACTCATAACAGTCACTGTAGTTTTTTTAAACAATGGTTTGTTTGAAAAAATTGGCTACAATATCAAATGCAGCATATTCTTTCCAACAAACATAAAATCCTATTGATTTTTTTTTAACAGTTAATTAATTACAGGTAACATACCTTCATACAGGATGTGTTTTGGCAAGAGAATACTTTATCCCCAGGATCCAATAATGCTGCAAAATCACAGTGTGGACATCTACAAGTGAAAATAAATGTGAAATTCTGAGTGTGGATTATTTGAAAGTGAAATAAATGAAACATGTTGCTATAGCAAATTGTGCAAAAAAAAAAATCTTAATAGAATTCCTTGATCAACAAAGCTTTCTTGTTTGTTGTGAACTTCCAGTCTGCATTTCATGCGAGCAAAAATAATTGGGAAAAATTTTAAAACTCCATAGGACATGAATACTCCACCCAGGGTTCATTAGTAATGTAACATGAAAATTTGTGAGACTTTGAATTTTAAACTACCTGATGATGCTTTCATATCAATATAACAAATGGCTTTGCTGTTCTTAAAGTTTTTTCCTATATACTCTTATGAAAAACTTTGATCACCCATTGTGGCCCCATGCTATCCCTCGGGGGTCATGACTTGAACAAACTTGAATCTACACTACCTGAGGATGCTTCCATTAAAATATGACCAATCATGACTTTGCTGTTCTTGAGAAGAAGAGTTTTAAAGAATTTCCTATGTATTCCTATGCTAAACTTTGATATCCCATTCTGGCCCCATTCTATCCCCGGGGGTCATGATTTGAACAAACTTGAATCTACACTATCTGAGGATGCTTCCATATAAATATGACCAATCATGGCTTTGCTGTTCTTAAGAAGAAGATTTTTAACAAGAGGCCCACGGGCCTTATAGGTCACCTGAGTATCATGCAACAACTTCGCCACATTGGATTCATGTTTTAAACCAGAGGCCATGAAATTCACAATTTCGAAAGAGGCACACTTGCTCATCATAATTTTACATTTAGTAAGCTTACTTAATACCCAGAAAGAGAGCAGAGGATTATCAAAGAATTAATGCATTTTCACTATGTAATCATTAGAGCCCTGCCCTAACACCAGAACCATGATGCAGGGGCCATAAAATTCACAATTTTGGAAGAGGCATCCTTACATATCATAACAATACTCTTAGTTCATCAGCTTAATACCCAGGAGAAAAGAAGAAGATTTTCAAAGAATTATTGCATTTTTACTATGTAATCATTAGAGCCCCAACCTAACACCAGAACCCCTGACCCAGGGGCCATGAAATTCATAATTTTGGAAGAGGCACCTTTACTCATCATAACTATGCATCAGTTTGTTTGTTAAATACCCAGGATCAAAGAAAAAGATTTTTAAAGAAATAATGCATTATCACTATATATTCAACAAAGCCCCACCCTAACACCAGAACCCCTGACCTAGGGGCCATGAATTTCACAATTTTGGAACAGGCACCCTTACATATCATAACTATACTCTTAGTTCATCGGCTTATTACCCAGGAGAAAAGGAGAAGATTGTCAAAGAATTATTGCATTTTTACTATGCAATCATTAGAGCCCCGCCCTAAAACAGAACCCCTGACCAGGGGCCATGAAATTCACAACATAGGAATAGGCACCCTTATCCATCATAACTATGCCTTCAGTTTGTTTGCCCTGGATCAGAGAAGATTTTTAAAAGAAATAATGCATTTTCACTATACATGTATATTCAACAGAACGCTGCCCTAACACCTGAACCCCTGACCCTGGGGCCATGAAATTCACAATTTTAGAAGAGGCACCTTTCATCATCATAACTATGTATTTATTTTGTTTTCATAATATCCAAGAGCACAGAAGAAGCTTTTTAAAGAAATAATACATTATCACTATATATTCAACAGAGCCCTACCCTAACACCAGAACCCCTGACCCTTGGGCCAAGAAATTCACAATTTTGGAAGAGGCACTTTTTCTCATCATAACTATGTACTTAGTTCATCGGCTTAATACCCAGGAGCAGAGGAGAAGATTTTTGAATAATTAATGCATTTTCACTATATAATCATTAGATACCCGCCCTAACACCAGAACCCCTGACCCAGGGGCCATGAAATTCACAATTTTAGAAGAGACACCTTTCCTCATCATAACTATGCATATTGTTTGTTTCCTAAATACCCAAGAGCAGAGGAGAAGATTTTTTAAGAATAATGCTTTTCACTACATATTCAACAGAGCCCCACCCTAGCACCAGAACCCCTAACCCTGGGGCCATAAATTTCACAATTTAGGTAGAGGGCTCAATGCTTATTACATTCATGCCAACAGTTTGCCTGCTTGATGCCCAGGAGTAAAGAAGAAGATTTTTAAAGATTGCATTAATTCTGATGGTTTTAGCCCCACCCCTCAGGCCCCAGGGGGGTAGGGGTCATGAATTTCACAATTTTTACTCCCCTTCACATATAGATGCTATGTGCCAAATTTGGTTGAATTTGGTTCAGTGGTTCCAGAGAAGAAGCTGAAAATGTTCAAATGTTAACGCACGACGGACGACGGACGACGACGGACGAAAACAGATAGCAATAGGTCACCTGAGTAAACTCAGGTGACCTAAAAATATTTAAGGTCTTCCGTTTTCACAGAAGACCTTATAGTGATTCTACTGTTTCTTATTAAGGTCTTCCGTCTTCAGCGGAAGACCTTACTGTTATTCTTAGGTTTCTTTTCCACTATTTTTATTATTGTTTTTTTTTCCTACCGATTTTGTGCACGCGAGTTCTCGGAAACGGCTCGCCCGATTTTCATGAAACTTTCAGGTCTGATAGAGAATTAAAAAATCTAGATATACAGTGGTGCCTCGTTTATCCAGACGCCTCTGTCCCCAACGAAATCGTCCGGATAAATGAATTGTCCGGATAATTGAATCACATCTCAAAAAGCACTCTCCAAGCATGTAAATATGCGCATTCTTGTTTCAAATGTGACAGCAAAGAAAAAAAAAACTTTTAAATTATATTTTGGTTAATTTTTTTAAAAGCAGTAATTGATTAATGAAAAAATATATTAAAAAAAGTAATTTACACAATAAAAAAATGGATGGGTAATTTTATGCCGAGATCTCCTTTTTTAATTCGCCTTCTCTTTGGCATGTGACTTCATGGGTTGAGCAAATTTTGATCTACTGTTGTTTTATTTTGCCATATATTATAATTATTGAAGCTCATGATCATTTGATATGACAGAACTGTTCAGCATCATCACTGAAAATGTTCAAATATAAACTAACCCTGTATATTCCCTGTATATTCATTACACAGGGTTACTATAAAATTAACTGAACACTGCAAACTAACTCAAACAAAGTATTAAAAACATTCGTAAACACAAGCCATCTTCATGATTATCAATATTATTTTTTTCTACAGACGCTAAGTTTGAATTTCGATCATTAAAAAATACCTTGAAAAACGTAATCAACTTCTGTACATAACGTCAGTTTTATATGTAATGGACGTTTGTAAACGGTAGTACAATAAATAGAGATATTTCTTCAATTATGTACCTTTCTATACTATCTTATGGAAAAAAAGCGTTTCAATTACATTTACGTTTTTTTAGAAATGGAACATCGTATTTTAAACTAACGCAATCGACATGATAAAGAGCATTACAAAATCGCTCGTTATTTATTGTTCATTTCATTTACAACTCTCCAAAATTCTCCTGAATTTACCGATGTATATACGGTTAGCAATATGATTTTGAAAGGATTATTATTTAATTAATGCACAGTGTCAGCTATAAACATGGCGCCACTGTATATTTTTTTTATTTTGATGATGTCACTTCCGGTCCGGAGATTTCTGCGATTTAGTGATTTTTAGAGGTTCACTTTGTCCGCTCGTTTTCTAAAAAAGCACTTGTAATAGGAACTTGATATCTTCAGTGATGATAGAACAATATTAATAGATTTGTACTAAGTAGATCATTTTTCCCGGAAGTGCTGCACGTTGACGCTCGGTATGCTCCGAAAATAGTCATATTGAGAATATCAAAATTTTTAGCATTTTTTAGAGAATATCTCTTTACTTGAAAATATTTTGTTAAAACATATAGAACAAAAGTTGTGTAGAATGTTACAATCTTTCAAAGGATATCAACAATAAGGGGCTGGCCCCTAAAATTAGGGAGCTAGAAGGGACAAAACTGTTTTCCTGATATCTCAGAAAGTATTGAGAATTTGTATAGCTTCATAGAAGCAAAGTTGTTCAAAATGATAAGTAGCAGCTATGGAGACCATTAAAAGTCGTCAAAATGACGTCACTTCCGGTCACACCGAGAGTAATGGTAAATGGCTCATTTTTGCACATATGACCGTAGAAGTCTCTCGATCTCAATCTCATCTCCTTCAAATTTAGACAGAAGACTTATTTGTTGCTTTGCAACAAGCTCGTCTAGTTATTATTATTATTTTTCCGCCCATCTAATTTTGTGTACGCAATTTCTCAAAAACTACTGGATGGAATTTAATGAAATTTGCAGGGACAATGTGTTGTAAACTGAAGTTATTTTATCCGAGAGATTTTTTGGAAAAATCACTTCCAGTGCCAAGTTACAGACCATTTTCTGAATTTAAAAAGACATTTTGTCCGCAGATAATCTCAAGAACGGTAAAAGATATCAATGTGAAACTTTCAGGGATTATAGATCGTGATAAATCCTAGCCGGTACATGACCTTTCGTTCGTCGTAGATACTTCCGGTTGTTACTGGATGCGAATTTAAAAAAATGAATTTTCTAATTTTTCTGTTTTTCAATATTTTTCTTTGATATTAGTAGGGTTAAAAGAGACATTTCCAAGAAGGTTTAATATATAATTTGTTTAAAAATTGATAAATCCAAATTCTAGATATTCGCATTTTAAAATTTGAAGCGGGTCCAAAATGGCGGCTGTCTCCGTAAACTCCGACGAGCAGGTCAGCACTCGGAGCTCCTCGGGTGGCTGGTACCTCGCACACTAACTTACAATGTCAACGGTGTTCTATTATTTCGGGTTTAATCCCGATTATGTCTAAATTTTCTTTCTCATTTTTTACCTTTAATTTACGTTTTCATGTTTATAAATGATGTTTTTTTCTGTGTGAATCTTGCGCTATTTTCATTTGTTTTAAATAAATCCTTAAAAATCCTTGCACTTTTG